CACTCTGTATAAGGACTGAAAGCATTTCTCTGTGGAGTACACCAGACCAGCTCTGCGATACGGAGGAGAGACTTATTTGATTATAGAACAAGGCCTCCTACTGAAAAGACTCGGTCACAGGATGAGATCTTTGTGAAGTTCTGTGCACGTTCAAACTTTAATAACCCCAAGTCTGGGTTGCCATAGAAACAATGTAGTAAATTACATTTAAAAGAAATGCATTGAATTTGGAAAAACTAAATTACAACAATGGTAACAAACAAAATACTTCCGAGGGCTATTGTTTAGCATTACTGGTGCAGCTGGGTATTATTTCATTTACTCTTTGTAATAGTCTGGACAGGTGAGCAGGGCTTCCACACTCTCCAGGGGAAGAAACTGAAGTTAAATCACTAGCCCATGCCCACCAAATAAAGTGAGAAAACTCTGGATCTGCCCAATTTCAAATCTTCTTTCTCTTATGCAACAAATTTCAATTCTATGGCAAAAAGTAAAACCAAGTAAACCTACTGGGTACTGTGTATGTGATTCAGGTTATAAGTGCTCTAAAACCCCAGATTTAACCATCACACTCTTTATCCAGGGAACAAAACTTCACTTGTTCTTCCTAAATCTACAAAAATAAAAAAAAGAAAGATATGTCCCAAAGATGCAGGAGCTCAAACATCGTTTGTTGTATAAACATTTATCTTATATTCATATTCAATTCACAGATTGTGCATCATGCTACATTAATGTCTCCAATGTAAAATACTATTCAGCCAAAAAAATAATGAAGACTGTACATCTTTTATATTAACCTGGATGGAGTTGAAGGACATTCTTTTTAGTAAAGTATCACAAGAATGGAAAGGCAAGTATCCAGTGCACTCAATACTAATACGTAGCTAGTGGACAATCGAATGTACACCCACATAAGAGAATAACTCGATTCAATTCAAGCTGTGGGGAGGGAGAATAAGGGAGGAGGAAGGGGAATCAGTGTTCTCTTACTTAGTGGGGACATTGTGAGGATCTACGTCACACCTCTTGGGTGCAGGACACAACTACAAGAGGGACTCTACCTAAGAGATGCAAACATCATAACCTTATTGTTCGTACCTGCACATTAACACGAAATTTAAAAAAAAAGAACTAAATCGCTCAACTGGAAATCCACTGAGAAAGAAAATGAAATAAAAAATGTAGTTAAAATTATGCTATTATTGTATACATAATGTTAGCAAAAAGATAGCAAAGAATAATTTGCATAATAAATATTCCTACCCTTTTTTCTTGTTAGTACCATAATTGAATGGCAACCCTCAATGAATTAGGACAAAAGGAGGGCTATTAGCATAAAAGTTAGTTTGATCTTGCTAGAAGATTTGATCACCTTTCACCCTCATTCTACTTCATTAGTTGGAACAGTTTCTGTCTTTCATCAGTCTCATGTGTCTTTCAAGAACTACCCTGGCTGGCCGTGTTCCACAGAAAGGGCAAAGAATGGTTTCTTTTCAGTAGATTTTGAGAGAATCACGACTCTTCTTGGTCTTGATGGTTATAATACATGAGTGAAACTGACTTAGCGTCATCTAATCAGAAGTATATGTTATTTCATGTTACAAATTCCCAGCGCTTGTAGTAACCTCTGCCGATTGTTTTCCTTCATGCTTCTTTTAGTCCAACATTGGATATAATTAAAGACGTAAGTTTACCGTGGAGACAAGCTAGTGAGGACATCTGAAGCTCAGGGAGGAGGAGAACACAAACGCTTAGTAAATTTTGTGAGTCACTTGACTTGTTTCAAGCAGTAACAATGGAATTGATTTAGGGGTGTCACTGAGTTAATCTAAGTTGAACATAGTTATTCATTAAGGAATATTTATACCCCATTTTCCTTATGTGAATTTACATACTGAACACGGAGATCTTGAATAAAAAGGTGAGTTTCCCATCTCGCCTGAGG